TTAGCCTAGGGGGGATAAAGATCTCAAGGAGAATATAAGATATCACGAAGTATATGCAGGGCTATCCTGTGGAAAGGGAAATTAGACTTATTCCTTTTGGCTCCAGAAGGTAGTACTGGGAGTGATGAATAGGAAGGGTAAGGAGGTAAGTTTAAGTTTGTTTCAAGGAAGAACTTTCTATTAGTGTTATTTAAGTGTGGAATAGACTGCATCATGAAGGAATGGGTTCTCTTCTTTCAAGTACAAGCTCAATGAGAGCTTGTTGAATATGATTCCTAGAGGACTCCTGCACAGGACCAGTTTGGACTAGACAGCCACTAAGGTGACTTCCAATTTTGACTTTCTGTAGCTAATGAAATGTATTTTCCTTGCATGAAAAAGAAAGTTATTATCTTTGTAGGAGTTCTAAGATGTAATAACCTGAAATTGTGGTTTTACCACACTGAAAAAAAAGTTTCAAACTGGTCTTGTTTTCCCCTTCTTGGAGGTCTAAAATACACTTGTCCCCTTGGATATTTTAAAGCAAAAATGAAAAAAAAAAAGATTCCCTCATGATTGGTCTGGAGGTGGAAGTGTGAGCGGGTGAGCTCTGTCTGATTACTACCACTTGTTTAGAGTGAAACTCATGACACAGATAACAGTTGTAAGGGAAGGAAACTACTTGATAATGAATCTCCAGTTCATTAAGGAAAGAACTGACAGACAGCAGCCGATTTTGAAAGCAGCCTCTGGCCTAAGTTCTTATAGAGGTAGAGAGCTGCCCCTTGACATAGATAAGACAAGTTGGAGAAGGTGATTGGGAGAGGGGTGGAACATAAAAGGAAAGTAGATATATAATCATTCAAGTAATTGTTCAGTAGTCCCCAGTTGAGGACAGTTCAACAGAGCGACTGTTTGAAAAGAAACATGGAAGCTTGATGGAAGGGATAAATTGTTGGAAAGTGAATCTTGAAGACCTGGGATTTAAACTCTTTGGTTAATACTATCTATGCAAGTGTCAGCAAATCATCTGAGTTCTCTCAGCTTCAGTTTCCTTCTTTGTAAAATGAGGATAATAATCCTTATTGCACTTCTTTCACAGGGTTAATATGAAGCTCAAATGAGAAAATGTATGCCTCAAATATGTATGTATGTGTGTATGTGCATGTGTGTTGTTATCATTGCTGACTTTTTGGTGGTGGGGTGTCAACTGAATTTTGGCTTGAATTAAATGTGAAAATTTGGCTTTAAATCCTAAAATGTTGTCGCATATTCGATGAGAAAAAGTATGTTATGAAAAGTAATTGAGTTTTAAAAGTGTCTTTTAAGATGACTGGTTTATAGGTTCACAGATTTAGAACTAGAAGGAACCTTGGAGTATCTTAAAGGGGAGAAAACTAACAGAGGCTGATAAAGGCCCATAAAGGTACAATGACTCTTCCAAGGTGATACAGGTGGCATTGAGAGGAATGGAATCCATATTGGGTTTGCTGATTATAAATCCAGCACTTTTTTTTTCACTGAACTACACTTCTTTTCAAATTTCATAGTGGTTTTCTATTATTAGAAAAATAATAATGGCTTAAATGGAATAAATAGTTTTGAAATTCTACTTTTAAAAGTGTTTTTTAAAAAAATTTATTGACTCAAGAGTCCCTATGAATTCTTCATAATCTATCCTGGATAAGTTATCATATACCAGTTTAAAGGAGCACATAAAGTTTACTTCATGAGTATTTTAAAATATGAAATTTACCCCAAAATAAGCCTATGAAATGCAGTATATCCTTGTCTGAGGAATAGCCAGTGGTATATTAAACATTTGTAAATAAATGTCTCCTGTGGTTTTATTTAATAAGACAAAAAATGCAAGCAATCTAAAATATATTTAACAAAATAGGAAAGTTATTATTATTGTCTATCTTGTTATTACTAATAGAATTTAAATTGTGTTTTATAAATACTATCTCATTTGATCTTCTCAACAACCTTGGGAGGTAGGTGCTGTGATTATCCCAATTTTGCAGATTAAGAAAAAGAAACAGACAGGGGTTATGTGTGTTGCCCTGGGCCACAGAACTAGTGTCTTAGGTTGGATTCCAACAGGTCTTCCTGACTCCAAGGCCCTTGCTCTATCTATTGTGCCATCTAGATAGATGGAAAACATGTGATGTGTACATTTGAGAGGAATATTTAGAAAATTTTGAGTTTTAAAACCATATCCCTTAAACATGGAGAATGACTAGCCACTATAAACTTGTATCTTCTAAAGAATATGGTGGAACATGTTGCTGTTGGAAGAGACTAGATTTGGAATCATGGGTCCTTGGTTCAAACCCCACCTCTGCCATATAGACCTTACCTGACTTTGAGAAGCACTGTAGGCCTCAGGCTCTAATCCTTTTCTAACTCTACCTCTGGTGCTGCAAATGACAGATGCTCTCCCAAAAAGGACTTGTTCTCTGTATACTTCTCTGAACATTCTGTCATGTTTTACGTAAATTAAAAACGATAACAACATAATTTCTATGCTAGTCTGATACAAATGTTCTGATTATCCACCAAAGGACCAGAAATTTTGCAAATTGTATTATTTACTTGAATGTTCTGTAAAAATATTTCTTATGGCACATTCAAATGATAAATACTAGAAAGACTTTATGTCTCTGTTTAAAATTTCATGGGCCATTTGTTGTTTAATCTTTATCAATAAATTATCAAATTCCATGAAAATCACACTCTGAATATGCCATTTACCTTCAAAATTGTAACTTCACATTTGATAGAAATGGCACTTACAGTATCCAAAATCTGACCATTCCCCCAACAATTTGAGTTATCTAATTAAAGTAGAGCTGAAAAGTATAGACTTTAAAGATCCCAGGATCATAAACTCTGAGCTAGAAAGGACCTCAGAAGCCTTTTGACTCACACCAACCTCTGTTCATTTTTGGATTTTTAGTTCACTTTAGTTTTAATTCAGTTTTCAGAACTAAGAGAAGAAAACTGATGGGTGAAGGTCACAGAAATAGTAAGTGACCCAGGCAGAATTTGAACCCAGGTCCTCACGTTCTAGTAGCAGTACACTTTCTACTCTATAACACATCCTTATTTGCCCCAGTTTCCCTATTGATCTTCATTACTATACAACTGCTTAAAACATCTAGGAGTAATATATGCACTGGTCTAATTGGTAAATAGTTAATATTGTTAAGGCAGAGGCAATATGGTAAGATGAAGATGCAATATTTGCAATGTGGAAGACCTAGTCTTAGGTCCTGTGTCTGACACATACTGAAGCCAAGGGTGACAACCTCTCAATATCATAGGCAAATTCTAAGACTCCAGGCATAGGTGGTAGAATGGAGTTTTCACACTGGGACTTCCCCATTGCTAAAATCATAGTAAGGGAATTATATTCTTCAGGACCTCAAATTTATTGATTGAGTTTAATTTCTCCAAGGTCTCAAATGTCCCCCAGGGATAATTTGTATATTTTTACATGCATCATAACCAGGAGAACAATGAGTAGGAAGCCTTCATTTGATATACTGTCCAATCATTTTTTAGTTATAGTCTACTCTTTGTGACCACATTTGGCATTTTCTTGGCAAAGATACTGGAGTGGTTCCTTCTCCAGCTCATTTTACAGATGAGGAAAGTGAGGCAAACAGGAATTAAGTCACTTGCCCAGGGTAACACAGCTAGTAAGTGCCTAAGGCTAGATTTGAACTCAAGAAGATGAGTCTTTGTGACTCTGGGCCTGACATTCTATCCACTGTGCTTTGTAACTTAATGACTTGAATATTAATGAAAATAGTTTTATTAAAATGCCTGCATGTTAGACATTGTATTAAAAACAAGTTACACAAAAGCACTAAAACTCTGCTTTTTGAGGTAAGTTGGGACCAAGTAAATTCTCTAGCACTCAATGTTCAATGGTTTGCTCATATGCTATAGCGGAGAGGGGACTTAGAAATTATCTAAGCTGACTTACTAACAACAGAGAGACAAATCCTGGATGAGCCTAATTACTACTTGAAATATTTACAAAGGGTTTATTAAGGCCAGGCCATGTGGAGAAGAATTTATCAAGTTTTTGTTTTGCTTGTATGTGGTATGTATAATGACCAAAAAGTTTTCTTCTCCTATGATTTCACTATCAACATGTCTCATCTAAAACAAAGGAACTCAACCTTATTTTGTCTTCTTCCCAAACACCTTTCTACCAGATGCTGTGAGCAATATTCACTACAACGTGTATTATTTAGCTACGAAAACATAAGCTCAATTTCAGACTTGGACATCTAGTCCCAAATCTCTCATTTTATAGATGAGGAATCTGAGGACCACAGCTAGTTGTTTTATTAAGAATAGAAATAATCACTGAAATAGATGTCATAATTTCTTTCTTAAACCCTATGTACTTTTAGTTTTGAAGGTAATGTGCCAGAAAATCAAAAAAATACATTTTTCTTTTCACTTAATTGAAGTCTTGTTTAAGAAATACTTTATTGCAGCTGTCAGTTATTTTTTTTCTTCACATTATATAGGTGTAAGATTTTTAAAATTAAATGAATAACAACTATAGAGATCAACTCATTTTTGGATTTGGTAAAATACATAGGTTAGCAAACATGCAAAAGGGAGTACAGAGAGACCTTTAAAAAGAGTAGGGGTTAGTTCAAATTCTATTGACAAAATTCAGTCAAAAGGAAGGATGAAACATGTCAAAATTTATTTTCAAGAAAACAAACCCAAAAACAAAAATCCCCTCCTCTTTAAACATTTTAATGGTTGGTACCAAAATGAAGAACTAAATAACAGTTGGTTTTTTTTGAAAAATAAAAAAAAATGTATGTTTATATATATCACAACAGGCAAGAAGACAAAACACATCAAAAACGGGGATGAAAAAGAACTCTCCAAAAAGGACAAGAAGTCAAAAAAAGAGGAAGAGGGTGGAAAAATAGACTGGGGCCTCATCATGCAAATCAGATTTGGCGGCAAAAAAAAAATACCTTCATCTTCAGCTCCGTCATTATCCCCTAAATCATCTGTGTGTTTCTTTGTAAGGGGACCTAGGATTGAGAATGGAGAAAAATGGAGGAAAAAAGATAATTCAAGAATATACAAGACTGAATGGGAGGGGCAATATAATTTTTAAATTGTAAACCTACCAAGGATGATTCCAAAAAACAAAAACAAAGACAAAACCCCAATAACAGTAACCAAAAAACTCAGGGAAGGAATTAGCTTAGAATATCAATTTCCGTTTAAAGAGAAAAATACCCATAATCCCCATCTAAAGTATCATCAACAGTGTTCACTTAGTATTTTTTTCCCTAATACAAAAAATATATCAGGGAATGGAGGTCAAATTACAAGCAAAAGAATATGTCTTAAAGAATACCCACCACATATAAAATAAGAAGACAATTTTATTAGCTGACATCTTATTTTACTCAGCCATCTCATTGAATTTAAATTGGTGAAAATAATAAACTAAATAGGTAAATATAATTTTTGAGAAAAAACATTGCAAAATTACAGTAGCAGATCCTGAAATAATTAGATATTGTTTTTTTTTATAATACCATTAGCATTTGGAGTTCTAACAGGTTTATTTTTTTCAAAACCATTTTTGTCCTTAGTTCTTTCAATAAAAAAAAAAACCTTCCCACATGTTCTCCTTTAAATGAAACTGTGGATTCGGGATTTTTGCAACCTCTGGCTACCCTTGACAGGTTTATTAGCAAAGGAAGGCTTATGCTTAAGCAAGGCAAAAGGTAGAGTCGATGGAAGTCAGGGTTTCTCTCTCAATGGGCCTGCTGAGGCAGGGCTAATATCTACTAATCAATTTAGTGACATAATGGAATTAAGCCTTAATACGATTTCATGGCCAGAATAGTTAGTTATAATAGGATCATGTTTTAGGAGAATAGTTCAATTAATAATAGTGGGAATGTTTCCTACATGTTTTATTACATCGAATAATAATAACAACAATAATAATTTGCTGGACTCAAACAAAATAGGAAAAGGGAAGTCAAAGGCCATGAGAAGAGTGACTGTATCTTTCGCTTTGTACATCCTCAGCACACAGGGAAGCTGTTGGAACCCCATCTTCTCTTTCTGTTTTCATAGATGTTGCATTTAAATGACAGTCAGTAATACACATGCAAAAAGGAACCATGACAAGCACAAGACACTCCATTTCCAAAGGCAGCCAACCACAAAGCCATAAGCAAAAATTTTGCCATGCATAAAATAACCATCATAAGAAAAAGAAGGGGGGTGGAAGAAAAGAAACAATGAAAGACGTGTCAGTATATGCAGTGCACAGAGGCAAGAAGCAGGCATTAACTCAGCACACTCAATAGAGAAGATCAGTTCAACATTTGGACTTGAAGCTTCTAGTCATTCCTGCTGATACTGTACGTGTGTGTAACTCAGGGCTAAAACTGGAAACTTGATTGTTAAACAAAACCTACATTGCTGGGAACTGAAGGGGGAAAAACAATGAGCACATAATATACTTGCTATTACATCGATATGACAGAAAACTTTCAATAGGTCAGAAATCTATTCAAAGATATCAGCTGGAAGCAAAGAAACATCACTTAAGTGTAAATACGTTAATGGTACTTCTATAATGTCATCTGTCAGGGAGAGTTTCCAGGTTCTTCCAACTCATTTCCACTGGAATTGTAACTGCTCATCATACACTCAAGAAGAATTTTTTTTTATTTCACCTGAAAGGGATCATCCCCTTTCGTAGGAATTGTCCAGAAAAAAAGTGGCTCTTTATTTATTAAAACTCAATGAAATTTTCTTGTCTTGTTCTGGTATTATTGTTCCATATTAATCCCAAACACTTCAAATGACTTAGAACAAAGTTAGTTCAAGGACTCCTGATTTTTCCAAATTAGAAATTTCCATTTTCTACAATAATGCATAAATTTTACTGTAATTCACTTCTTTATATTACAATCCTACCCAAATGCAAAGACTTTCTTTCTGATTGTTCGAGAACATTTCTAGAGCACAGAGAGGTATGTCATCATGGGGAAGACTACTTTGTTTTCTATATATTAGGGAAATCTGTGCTTAATCACTGTTTCAGAGAAATATGCAGAAGATAATTCTAGTTTTAAAGGACATTCCCAAATATGGCAAATCTTGAAATATCTATTTTCATTATTTTCAATTCTTCTCTCTAGAAATGCTTATTAATATCCTTTGACCATTTATCCATTGAGGAATTTTTTTAATGCTCTTTATATTTGTGTGGGTTCCCTACATATCTTGGCAATCAGACCTTTTGAGTTATTTGGTGCAAAAACTATGTTTTTCCCCCGATTGACCATGTCCCTTCTTATCCTTTTTGTGTTGATTTGTTGTATACTAAAACTTTTCATTTCACATACTCAAAAATATTTAGCTTGTATTTTGTGGTTGTTTTTATCCCTTGTTTAAGAATTCTCATACTATCTGTGGCTGTGAAATGAGCCATAATTGTGAAAGGGACCTGATTCTTTTCTTCTCTTTCCTTTTCTATAGCATGATCTATAATAGTCATGTCATAAATCCATTTTCAGTGTCTTAGGGTATATGGTGCGTGATGTGGCCATAAGCCTAATATCTGTCAAACTGCTTTCCAGTATAATCCTTTTCTTTTCAAATCTTTCATTTGTAAATGCTCCTTGGAGCACTAGAAGCACAGAAAATAAGAGAGCCTCACATGAAAGTTCATTGTCCAATTCCTACATTCCTATTAACATGAATAATATTGTCTGACGATTTTACTCTTTACTTGTTAATGTAGTGCATGCTTCAGATCATTACTGACTAGGAGTTGTTATGTTTGCTTTTTCAAGTAAATTCTTAGGAAAAAAAACAAGAAAATCATGCAGACTAACTATATGAAGAAACAATAACATTTTCCACCTCGAGGCAGTGCTGCAGGATTATCACTTCATTTCTATTGCTGTCACATACAAAAAAGGCCAGGTGTTGATTTCAAGTCCTCCCTTCCATGTTGGGCATGGCTCTTGACCTAATGGGCACTGGGGAAAGAAGAGTCTTGTTTAATTTTCATCCTATGGCATCCAAGGTGGATGATCATATGACTAATTGACTTCCTTGAAGGATGGCAAAATGACTACAGGGAGTCAGCTCACTGTGTTTTGAGGATAAGCCCTCTTTAGCAACACTTTATGTATTAAAAGAAACATTGGTTTCGACAAGTTATGAGATGCTGGAGCAATAAAATCTCCATTGCAATCTGTGTTTCTGCCCATACTCCACACTTGGCTCAGGGCCTTTCTGGCTCTGTATATATACCATAAGAAGACCTATTTCCCAATGTGCAGATGCTTTGGCTGAACCAATTGACCTAAGTTCACCCAGACTACTGCTTCATCTACCCAAGTAAGGGGAAGGAAAACTCCTTACATTTGTTAGCAAAATAGAATAACTCCAAGAGCTAAAAGTATAACTGTTGCATCTTGAAGCAAAATTTCTTAGGACAATATTACAACTAATCATTAGAAAGCATAATGTAAAGGAAGGACGGTCCTCTATTTAGGATGTCCATTTATCAAACCATGAATCAATGAATTAAAAGAAATTCAATATTATGAGAGAGAAAACATGCTATTGCAGATAAGGCACTGATTTTGGAGTCAGGAAAATCTGATTTCAAATGCTACCTCAGATATTTACTGGCTGTGTGACTCTGCAGAAGTTATTTAACTGCTCTGGGACTTGGTTTCTTCATTAGGAAAGTGATAGAGCTGGATCTAATTGCTTTAAATGACTGTTATAGTTCTAAATCTATTCTCTTATTATTTTCTCTCTTAATGAAGATATCTTATACTTTTTTTTTGTTTCATATATTCTTCTAAAGCTACCTAGGTGGTGGTAGTGGTAATCAGTGTAGGTATATGAAGGGGAATAAGGGAGGAAGTTGGGATTCCATTCTGGCAAAATGGATTCAGTGAAAGCACAGCATTAATGAATTTTCTTGATAACAAGAATTATTAACCCAGGCAATTTATAATGATTGGTCCTGGTTACTGATAAAAATGATATTAGCAATTAAAAACAAAGATTCTACTTGCATTTCCAAGTCTTTCATGCTCAAGGGGATGGAGTGCATAGGAACCAGTATATGAAAGGACTTTGTGGAAGGAGTCCTCACTACTTTGTGATAACATGTGGAAAGAGTCAGGGAGCACAGAGTCCAATGAGGCTCCAGTGTTTTATACTATAGCACACTGATCTAGGATAGACAGTCATTGTTGTGAAGATGAGAAGGTAAATCAAGGTGGATCTAGGAAGCTTATTATTAACCAGTGGAAACTGGTTTGATTGGTACAGCTCTACCCTGCTAGGATGCAAGGATAATAAACACAGAGACTGGGCTTTCATCTTTTTCTTTCACTTGCTGGAATCATGCCATTAGGATTAAGTTTCCCATCCCTCTGCCCCTCATTCCTTATTCCCTGTCAGGCAATTTAAAAAATACCCTCACTTTTCTGGTGCCATAGATAACAGGGCAGTCTCCCTTAGTATAATGGAAGCCCTTTTGTCTCAAATTCTTCACAAGTTTGAACCATGAAGGTTCTAGACTTTCAATCAGAGCAAAGCTAATTGTCTTTCCCAACTGTGTGCTGCCCATAGTGGGCATGGAGGCCTAACACAGATACTCCCTCTCTCCTAGCAACTCCCCCCAAACAGCTGTACTCCTCCTACCCCTATGAGTAGCAATAAAGTTTGTTAATAGTATCTCTGTGTGGGCTCTCACTTTTCATCTGAATTCCTTTGTGTTAGACTTATTCCAATGAAGTCTTGTAAGGAAATTAAAACAATGTTCGTTGTGTGTGTGTGTGTGTGTGTGTGTGTGTGTGTGTGTGTGTGTATCTGTGTACTTTTCCAGGAATGACTTGTTCATACCTTTGGCCACTTATCCATTGAGGAAATGCTTTTGTTCTTATGTATTAATGAGAATTTTCCTACATATCTTGGATGTTGGATTCTTATCAGAAATGTCTGATGCAAAGACTTGCTCCCAATT